GCAGCATGTCCGTGTGGGCTGGGAGCAGCTGCTCACCACCATCGCGCGCACCATCAACGAGGTGGAGAACCAGATCCTGACCCGGGACGCCAAGGGCATCAGCCAGGAGCAGATGAACGAGTTCCGCGCCTCCTTCAACCACTTTGACCGGGTAAGGCCCCCCCCCGCCGCCCTTCATCCTCCCCCCTCCTCCTCCTCCGCCCTCCACTCCTCTCCAGCCACTTGGCCACAGTCTCCACATGTCCCCCGTCCCAGGTGCGCACCGACAGGTCTCCCGCGGGCGACGCACCCTGGGACCCGACTCCCGGCTTGCGACTCCCTTCCTGGCCAGAGGGGCCAGCCGGGGGCGGAGCCGGGCCGGGCCCCTCGCCGGCCACGCACGAGCCGCCGTGCTGCCGCTCGCCCCACGCTGGGCCGGCTGGGGGGCAGGAGACGGTTCGAGGGCCAGCAGCAGGCCGGGGGGGCTGCCCAGCTGCGACTCCCATGCGCTGGCCGCGTCTTGCAGTCAGCCGACCTTTCCCAGTGGCCGGACACGAAGAAGCCCCCTGGGAGCACACGGCATGGCCCGAAGGGCTGTTGGCGGGAGGGGGCGGCCAGCGCCGGGCGTCCGACGTCCCCCCCCCCCCCGAGGCCACGCCTGAGCTGCTCACGGCTCCCTTTGGCTCCCTGCAGAAGCGGAATGGCATGATGGACCCCGACGACTTCCGCGCCTGCCTGATCTCCATGGGATACGATCTGGTATGAGGCCGGCCCTCTCCGAGGACAGCGCTTTCCCCTCTGTCCAACGGCCAAATGACGGCCTGGTTAAGCATCTGGCACCCAACTTTTTCTAAAGAAAACGGACATCCCTTTAAAGCAGCTGCTGGGGCAGAATTAGGATCGTGAACGGAGCGGGGAGGGGATTAACCTTTCCTCCTCCTAAGCCCCGAGGAGAAAAGGAACACCCCCAAACCTAGTCAATGTGGAGCTCAGCCCAAGCAGAGAGGGCAGGACGGCTCGGAAAATGCCCAATCCGTGCCTTCCCCTCCAGCCTCCCCTTTGCTGCTCGCGGACCCCAGGGGCTCAGCCCGGCCTAGTTTGACAGGGACCGTGGAGAGACCCACGCGGGCAGCATTTCGTGTGCGCGTTTCTCAAAGAAAGTGTGGACGCTGGAGAATCGTATTTGGTTCGCACTTTCTTGCAACCAGATCGAATTTGCACATCCCAGACTAGTCAGCAGCCCAAGCTGCTGTCCTCATTAGGGCTGGACTTTCCCAAATTTTGTGGTGGAGCTCCTGGGACAAAGAAATGTTATATTTTATGAGGAACTGTATACAACTGAGATGCGATTGCTGGGTGGTTTTCAAAAACCACGGAAAACAGGACTGGACGCATCTACGGATGAACAGGCAGAGAATGAGCCGTTAAGAAATTGGCGAGGGCGAAAGGGGTCTTTTTTCTGCTTGGAACCACGGTGGGATTTGGGGTCTTCCACTATCATTCTCCAGGATGGCAATACGAGTATTAAAACGTGAGGAAGGGGTTGCTCTGGAGCAGCTGACGGTCCTGCTCTGGGGCCCAAGGGATCCCACTGAGGAGAGCCTTTCCGAGCTCCTGGCCTTTTCCCGGCCCCTCCTGCTGACCGGGGTGTCCGCTGCTTCTAGGGCGAGGTGGAGTTTGCGCGCATCATGACCCTGGTGGACCCCAACAACACCGGCGTGGTGACCTTCCAGGCCTTCATCGACTTCATGACTCGCGAGACGGCCGAGACGGACACAGCGGAGCAAGTCATGGCGTCCTTCAAGATCCTGGCCTCAGACAAGGCAAGTGCTGCCCGCGGGGGGGAGGGGGTGGAGCCCAGCTTTTGGGGGCGGAAATGCGCTCCCCGTCCTGCGCAGGGGCGCCTGCCAGGTCTTCCGGGCTGGCCCCCACTTGGCACAATCGCGCTGCCCGAGCGCATTAGAAACCGCAAGTTGAGAACGTGACCTTGAGAGCCTCAGCTTCTCCGCACACCCCTTTCTCAGCCCTACACGTCTCCGGACTTCCTTAAGGCCGGAGCGTGAGAGAGCACTGCTTGGTGAAATTTTAAAAACCGAAGTGAGCCCGAACGGCCCCGCACTGTTGAGGCAAGCCTTTCGGGGGAGGATCTGGTCGCCACTTGCGCAGCCTCGAGGGAAAGCAGGATCAAGCCCACGGAGCTGCTGCGGGAGAACGGGGGCCTTGCGAGCCTTTGGTGCACGCAGCACCCCGGACCCTCCCCGCATGGGGCAGCGGCTCCGCACGACCTGTGCCCCGAGCTGGCCGACAGCGTAACGGGTCGCCTCGCTGCTTCCCCCACAGAACTACATCACCATCGAGGAGCTGCGCCGGGAGCTGCCCCCCGAGCAGGCCGAGTACTGCATCAGCCGGATGACGAAGTACACGGGGGCCGACGCGGTGGCAGGCGCTCTGGACTATGTCTCCTTCTCCAGCGCCTTGTACGGGGAGAGCGACCTGTGATTCCCCCGCGCCCCGAGCCCACCCCTTCGCCTGCCCGGACCGAAGCGGAACAACGTCCCCTCCCCGGCTGCGGGGAGCCCGCACCACCAAGAGCCGCGTGCCCCTGCGAGGGGGGAGAAGCTGCCAGCCGCCCTCCCCGCCGCCGGGCCACGGGATCCCCCCTCCACCCACAAGCCGGGGCCGGGGCCTCCGGGTGGGCTTGGCGAGGAAACCCTGTCCGTGCTAGAAGCTGCCGCGCCTGCTCCCTGCTGCTGAGCTAGCTCTGCGTTCCCCCAGGCGATGCCCCCGCCCCCGCCCCCCCATAGCCTTGCCCCTTCCGGCAGGCCCTGGCCCCCCGGCCACGGCGGAGGTCCTCGGCCCTTGCCGCCACGGGGGCCTGAGGCCAAGACCAGCGTGGGGGCTGCCGGGGCGGGGGCTGGCTGGCTTGGCAGGGATGCTGCACCAATAAACCACACACACTGGAGCCCGGCTGCGGTGCAGGCGTCTTTTCTGGCCCGTCGGCCGTGATGCGTGTCTGCGTGGGGCTCAGCGGGATGTCCCCAACCCTAGGAGGTCTGCCCGGGGAGGGAGGGGAGGGAGCCCCTGCCAGGGAATGCCCCTCTGCCCCTCGCCTGCGCCACCCCGCTCCTCCGCCGGCCCACCCCCAAAACAGCAAAGCGGCCTCTTTAAAGTGTTTTAATAATAAAAATAGAGCTCTCTGGGGCCAGAGGAGGGACCCCGGGATCCATCAAAAGGGGGCCGAGGTGTGCAAGAACGCGGGCGAGGCGCGGCGTCCACCATAGGCGGGCGTCAGCGATGGCTTCTCCAAGACCCGTAGAAACCCAGGCTGCGGGAGCGAGCTCGGCCGCCTCGGCCCCCGCGTGTGGCCACGGCCCCGAGCGCGGGGCCGGGGCGTGGAACAGTCTCGGCCGCCCCCCGGCGCGGCGGGAGAGGGCCCGGCGTCAGGAGCACGGGGAGAAGCCCCGGAGGCTGTCCGTGGGGGGGGCCAGCCGGGAGAGGGAGCAGATGGGCAAGTGTCCGAAGAAGGCCGGGTCCGTCAGGGGGTGCAGGAGGAGGAGGAAGAGCGCCACGCCCAGCAGGTAGAAGAGGGCGACCAGGAGGCGGTGCCGGTGCTCCAGCGCAGCGCCCACGGCGGGGAATCCCACGTAGTTGCAGAAGGAGTGGCACAGCACCGGGCCGATGAGGTGCCCTGCGGGGCAGCGAGGCAGCTAGGGAGCGGGGAAGGGCCCCCCGGAAGGGCCCCCGCACCCCTCCGTCTCTCTCCTCCGGCTGGCGGGTCAACAGGGGTGGCGGGCTGCCCCTTCGCAGGAGCAGGGGTGCTTCCGCCCGTCTCGGGGTTCCCCCGGAGCCAAGCCTCCCCGGGTTCCTCGGTGGCCCAGGCTTGGCTTGCCTCGCCTCGCCTCCTGCCGGCACGCGGCCACCGGGGGGGGGGGGTGCTGGCAGGCCTCCCTCCCCGAGGAGCAGCTGAGCAGAACCCCGGTTTTCCTGCCCCTAGTACCGAGCGCCCCACCACAAATCCTGCCCCCTCCCATCACGCTCACCAACCTGTCCTGATGAAGAGGAAGGCCGTGTACGCGCCGAAGACGGCTGTGTAGGAGAACTGGAACACTGTGGGGGAGGAAGCGATCCGTCGGGGGGGCTTCGGAAAGGACGGGGGGAGCCCGGCCGCACGGTTCTTGGCCCAGCATCTCTGGATGGGCTGAGCACACGTATCACACACGCTGCGCCAGGCACGCCTACGCACACCCCCGCGCACGGGGACAGCGCCGCAAACACCCTCGCCCGGGACCAAGGGCGGCGTGGGCTTTATGCAGGTCGCAAGCGTGCGAGCATTTCACCACTGTGCAGAAACGGGGCGGCTTTGATCCTCCAGGGGATGTTGGGCTACAGCTGCCATTGGCCCTGGCCAGCACAGCCAATGGTTAGAGAAGACAGCCCAACAACACCGAGAAGGCCGGGTATTCCTCATCTTTCATGTAGGAGAGCAGGGGGGATAATATTTCTTTCTAATCTGGTAAAGGCTCTTTTTGGGAGAAGGCAGATTTTAAGAACAGGGAGTATCGCTACCTTGGCAGACTAAAGCAGGACGTTTCAGGGCTATGGTCCTTCCTTCTGTGTACCCTGCACAGGACAGTTCAAATTGCTTGTGAAGAACGCAAGACAGAAAGCAGGCAGAGTGGAGGTCTTGCCTCCGAAATGATGGGCGAGAGGACTGCAAGTTCTTTGAGGGCATCCTGACAAATGAACTGCTGACAAATTTGCACAACGGCTGCAGCCTCGTTCCCCTGCAGAACCACCAAACTCAGAGTTCCTCCTTGGGAGGAAAACCAGGACGGTAAAAGCCGGTTAAAATGCCAAACGGGGCTTTTCAAGGAGACACAAAGCTCCAATGCCCGGATCACACCCAACGTAGTCCTCACACTCCTGGGCGTGTTTCAGACAAAAGACGTCTTGCGCGTTGCAGCATTCATGCTGAAGTTGTCGGACTTCACACTTTTGATTTCCAAAGCAATTATACGGGGCTCTCTCTCCCCATGCTTGTGGACTCGCTTGCTTCTCCCGATTTTTGCTGTCTGTCTCAAGGTTTTCAAAAATGGGTAATTTTTTAACTGGGATGCTGGGTTCTGAAAAGCGCTCTGCCCTCCAGCACCCTCTTTATTTAGGTTGAAAGGAGTCGCTTTGCACTTTTTAACTGCCTTTTTAACCTCTTGTGAGGAACCGAAGCTGCTTTATGCAGCTCCATTTTATCCTCACAACAACCCTGTGAGGTAGGTTAGGCTGAGAGTGAGCCACTGGCTTTAAGCGTCATTGCTGAGTGGGGACTTGAACCCGGATCCCAGAGGTCCTCAGTCCTGCACTCTCATCCCCACAGAGTCCTGGCTTTCAACTAATTACTGGCCAGCTCATTAATGGTACCCCTTTTATGAATGGATACCAAAATGGAGAGCCATTTTGGGAGAACATGAATTCGAATGGTGCCTACCAAAGCAAAATCAGTTGTGAAATCTGGGAGAAAGCAAAGCCACTTTAAAACCACAGAGCAAGGATTCCTACGGAGCCAGTGCAAACCTGACAAGGGACTCTGGCCCTCGACTGAAAAATGGGAGACTTGTGAGGTGCGGGTCAAAACCACCTGGCATCCCATGAAGATGTGCTGACCCTCTTTTGGCCCAAAAGAAATTCCGCGTGGGAGAAATTCCTGGGAATCGTGTTCCAGGGCCGAAGGCTAAAGAGGATGGTTCCAATGAGAACCTCATTACCATTCCTGCCAGGGATGAAGTCAGAAAAGGCATTTGGCTTTCTGAATCCGCACAAAGCCACACAACAGCTGGCAGCCAGGGGAAGGGGGGCTTGGCTAACTGGGGAGGCCTGCAGGGCCGTGGGAGGCCCTACACCCCCACTTTGCGATCCCTATGGGAACAGGCCCTGCTCGGGAACACAAGCACCGGTCTCCTAGCAATCACACACGTTGGCCACCCCTCCCTCTCATCTCATGGAGGGAAGGGCCTCTCTCAGCATGACCATTACTATTAATTACATTTCTAGGCCATCTGGAGCTGAAGATCTCCGCCAATGAGCCAAGCTCTCGCCTACAACTCGGTCCTTTTTCAGTTCAAGATGTCCCACGCTGACCCCACGGCCCTCTGAAGACCAAGCGGGGGACCTGCTCCAAATTAAGAACTTGGGGAGTGGGGAGGTGGCTTATAGGACCCCTCTGTCCCTCTAACCCTCTGCCGTTTGCTCTGAGTTGGGCAGCAGCCCCCCACATCCTCCTCCTCCTCCCGCTCAAAGCGCTTTTTGTGCTCCACCACGGCAATGCAACGACCTTTCTTTGCTGGAAGGCTCTCTGCTCAGCACTGAGGCAGAATCTGGCGAGAGGTGCCATCATCTTCCAAAATGACGCACCCCACCTGCCCCCACCCCACCTGCCTTTTTTTTCCATCATGGCCAAACCGTGCGGCATTTCATACCTGCAGAGAGGAAGATGTTAGTCCTGCTTCCCTGACGGAACCGCAGCTGCTCGATGACATGGTGAAAATGAGCTACCGGGAAGAGGAACAGAAGTGCAGCTAAGAATACCTGGCAGGACGACGGACCTCTGCACCCCACACTGCCCACGCCAAGCGGCCCGGGCCCCCCCCAAACGGGATCGACGGGGGGCAGAATGACTCCAGGGTGCTCGCCTCCTGCTGAGCGACCAGCCCGGACGCTTTGATTCGGACCCGTTGAAGGTCTCCCTCCGCAGAACTGGCCAGGAGCGCGCCGCACAACCGGGGGAGCGGGCCCCCCCGAGAGTTTCTGGCAGGCTCCGTGCACTCACCAACTCCAAAGAAGAGGGGGCAGGTGAAGATGGCAGGCCCCAGCCCGGTGCAGGGGACCAGCATGGGGAGCATGCAGGCCCGGAAGACGAGTTCCTCGGTGAACGGCGCTATTATCTGGTTGCGGAGCCAGCGTATGTCGGTCAGGCAGAGCAGCCAGAACCGCGAGTCTGAGGGGCAAGCAAGCACGGGGCCGTCAGTGCCAGGCACGCTGGCCGCAGCCGTGGGCAAGAGGAGGAGGGGGCAGACACGGCCAGCAAGTCCTAAAGGGACTCCAGAGCGAGGCGGGGAGAGATCCAGGGCGAATTCTGTGTTCCTGCGCCCTGTTTAAGGGGGGTCCAAAGGCAAACAGGGGCAGCCGAACGCAAAGGGCCCGGACTCAGAACACCAGAGGGCACGATCCCGCGCATGTTAGGCGGGACTTCCTCGTATGGCTCCCAGCGTTCCCTGGCCAGCCGTGCTGCTCAGGACGGCAGCTCAAAGCAACCGCTGCTGGCAAGCACGCCTCAGGCAATCTTTGAGGGAGAAAGTACACCGAACTGGCAAAGCCACCCGTGATCTTTTGTTCGGGGGGAGACAATGGGCCCGGGGAAGAAGGCAAGGACTCCTGGGGTACGGGAGGAATGGATTTGGCTCCAGGACTGAAGCTCTTTCCTCCATGCCGTAGGGCTTTGCTCCCCGAGCGCTGCCAGAATATACCAACCAACGTGGACTTACCAAAGACGATTCTCAGAGCGTCCGTCAGGTCCCACGGCCAGTCCATGGACAGCTGGATAAGGGGGCCAAGGAATAAGACCTGAGAAGAGGAGCAAGATTGTTCTCACAAGCACTTGTTAGCACAAGGATGCGAGTTCCGCTGTCTGCCAAGAGTTGGCACTGTCTGGGGTGGAAGGGCGGTTTATCATTTAAAGAACTTTCCCTTTCAGAAATGTAAGCCAACATGAATCAACATCAACCATGATTCAAAATTCCCTTGATTAAAAAGGCAGAGCCCTGCCAAATCAAGTCCATCTGGTCTCTGAGCACAACAAGCCCAAAGGAAACGCCATAAGCAGGAGCTGAGTGCAACAGCACCCTCTCACCCATCTTCCCCAGCAACTGATGTACATGGGAATACTGCCTCTGCTACTGGAGATTGCCTATACCCATGAGAACTAGTAACCCTATCTTATATGAATTTATTAGATCCCCTTTTAAAGGAGCAGCTTTCACTATGTCTTGTAGCAAATCCCACAGTTTAACATTGGGCAAAGAAAGTTTTCCTCCATGGTGGGACCCGGATTTTGAAATATCCTCCTTAAGACGGCCCTGTCCTTGCTTTCTATTCTCTATAAATCAAAGTGTTCCTTGATACCCTGACATTTAAAAGGTTAATCAACTGATTTCATTAGTTTTCAGGAAAATTTATGTACCTCACCCTGTAATTAACTTGTTAATGTTATATGATATTTGCTTTTTTACCACAATAATTATGGTGCACCGGGAATCCTCATGGGGGGTGACTTATTTTTATGGTTTGCTTTAATTTATGAACTATACTTCATCTGCAAGAAAACCCAGGACAGCGTACGTAACACATAAAAGTGCAACTACCAGTATTCCAGAAAAGGTGTACATCTATTCAACAACAACAACAACAACAAATCCATCAATTAAAAAAAATATTCTGGCGATGCATTTGAGCTGCTTGATCAGAGGGCTCTGCAACTCAACCCCAAAGCAGGTTCACATTTCACAAGCAGCCGGTCACCTCCAGCATCCCAGAGTTCCACGCTGGCAAGCTGGAGAAGGATCCTGACTCTTCCTCCAATTTACCTAAATGGTTTTTCTGTGTTTCTGAGCAGTGTTCCTTCCCCATCAGCCTGTCCGATAAAATGCACAGATTCATCTGCTTAACCAAGAGACAAAAGTCTCACAATTCCATGATGGCTGCAGAGTAGGGAAACCTCTTCATCAAGGAGTAACATGGGGAAAACAGGCTTCCGAACTCTTAGCAGGACAGGAAAAAATATTGCAGGATAGGAACTGCTGTGAGCTTATTTACAAGACTGTGCCAAAGCGAGCAACGCTTACCATGGTTAGCAGTAGCGGCAGCAGGGTCGCCGGGATGATGCCCTCAAGCCGGAAGCCCATCAGAGCAAGGAGCGATGCATCTGGCTGAGCGGAAAAGGGGATTTCTTCACCAGCTCCGCAGCTGCTGCCTCCCCTTCCCCACCTCCCAGTGAGTGCCCGTGACTTACTGGAGAGCTCACGATGTGGACCTCCACCCAGTGCCACCGGCCTGCAGCTTTCCTAGTCCCTGACCATGCTAGTTAGACCAGGTGGGAATTTTGAGTGCAACGACACTGAAGTTCCTGCCCATGCTTTAACCAGAAATTTTGGAATTCTGGAATCAGGAACCATCCAAAGCACGTGCTCCAGCGCTGAATGGGTAGCTCAGTGGCTCCAGGGGACTGGAGCAAATTGGCCAAGCTAAAGGAGAAGCTGCGTTGTGCCCGCTCCTTGGCCAATCCGTCCCAAGGAAAGTTCTTTTTCAAATATGGTGACAGAAGACGGATTGCGTTATAGTTAAGGCTGCCTTCCTGGGAACACCTCCAGGCCACCTCGACATCAGAGGAATGGGGGAGCCCCAGATGGTCTACAAAGATGGCTTCTCCAAACTGTGGAAGGACAAAGCTACCGGAATATAGTCTGCTATAAGGGCCCCATCCTATGTGCATTTAGGTAAAAATTAAGGCCTTCCAACAGTGGGAGTGTGTGCCAAGTCTTGCAGTATTTAGTTCAGTCTAAATAAGCATCCTGTTTATTGTTCATAGTTTAACTGTTTTAAACTAACAAAGTTCTTGGAACTGCTGGAGATCTCCAGGCACTTCTGGCCAGGACTGTGCAGCCCTGGCTGGGTGACCCTCTTACCTTAACGCCAGTCACCTCTTTCCAGGTCCAGATGAAGAAGGGCGAAAGGCCGGAGACAATGAGAACGCTGGTGAAGCGGCGCTTGATGACGGACGGGTGGTCCCTGCAGGGAGAAGAGTCCGGCAGTGGCCCCCTGCCCTACCCGCCCCGCAGGCACAGACTCGCCGGGGCCATTCCCACGACCGGCCCGACCCACGAAAGGGGCTGCCGCGCTAACTCAACATGCGGGGAGCGAACCCGGGGCTCCAATGGGCTCCGGTGGGGGCTGGAGGAGCCGCGACTGCTCCGGGACCTCCAGGAGGAGGGCGCATCGGGGCAGCTACGAGAGTCACGTCCGAGTCTGCCCCGGCCGGGCGGGCTGCCCCGGGCGCGGCGACCAGCGGCAGAGACGCCCGGCTGCCCGGCTCCGGAAGCGCCTCCCGGTGCGGCCGGTCTGCGGCCGGCCCCGTCCCGCCCCGCACCGTCCCGACCCCGCGGCCCGCCCGGCGGAGCCGCCGCGAGGGGCCCTTCCGCGGGCGCAGGTCTGCGGCCCCGCTCACCTGGGCAGGTGGCTCTTCCACACGTAGAGGCTCCCCACGTAGGAGCAGGCCAGGCCCAGGCAGGAGGCGAGCGCGGCCCAGCACAGCCCCGCGCCGGAGCGCCCCGGCCCGCCCGCCTCCTCCGACATCGGGGCGCGCGCGAGGCCGCCCGCCCGCCCGGCTCCCGCCCGCAGAGGGAGGCGGGAGGCGGCGGCGGCGGGACGGAGGGCGGGCCGCG